CCGAAACGTCAGCTTTCCTGCTCCTCTGATGCTGCTTGGCCTGCTGTGTTCATCCAGCTCTACACCGTGTTATCTCAGATTCCGTAGGGAGCAGTGTTGGGCCCCTTGCTGTTTGTGGTTTATATAAATGATTTAGACTTGTATGTGGGAGTGTAAATCAATAAGTTCACAGATGAGAGAAAAATTGGTGTTGTGGTAAATGTGTCATCAAGATAACAGCGGTTTAGGGCTTCTGAGCCAGGGCTCATCCGCACTTTTTCTCCACCCTTTTCTTGATTTCCTTTTGTTCTTTTTTCCTTTACTTACCTCTTGTCCTGAGCTCGGATGGCATTGTGGAGGTGGCGAGAGATCCCAGCGGCAAACTTGTGCTGCAGTCAGTGAGGCCAGCGCAGACTCGAGTGAGCCCTTACTTACTTTTCTGGGACCTGGCGTTGGATTTGGCAGCTGCCACATCAGCGAAGGCGACGTCGGCGAAATATGGTACCTAAGGATCGACAGCTTCATCATTGGCTGGGTCCAGTGTCGACGGTGGCAAAGCGGTGGCAGAGGAGAAATGGCCCCGTGGTGAAAGGTGGCACCTGATGACTTCAATGTTGGTTGGGTCCAGAGTAGACGGTAGAGAGATGGTGGTGGAGGGTTGGCAGCTGTAGGCATTGTTGATGATGAGCTGGCTTAGGACTGATGGACTCTCTTGAAGCTACACCTTTCTATTTATTTTCTTATCAGACTATTTCAAAATGGTGCTAGATCATGGCAACAGTGGAAAACTTTTCACTATTTTTCTCATTGTAAAGTACATGTGACAACTAAATCATTCACTCAAATAGTTCGGGGGGAGAACAGGAGGATGTAGCTGAGCTGGTCAGGTGGGCTGATCCATGGAAAAGTGAGTTCAGTCCTGGTAAAAATGAGGTGATGCACTTGGGTAGGACAAACAAGGCAAGGAAACCCACAATGAATGATAGGACCTTGGGAAGCTCTAAGGGTCGGGGCATTATATACTGGTCTACTTAAGGTATCAGAACAGGTGGATAATATGTTTAAGAAGGAATATGGGATATTTGCCTAACTAGCCAAGGTATAGAGTTTAAGAGCAAGGAGGAGATGCTGGAACTGCATAAAATGTTGATTAGGTCACAGCTGGAGTATTGTGTGCAGTTCTGGAATCCACATTCTAGGAGGGATGTGATAGCACTGGACAGGGTGCAGAGGAGACTTGCCTGGGCTGGAGAGTTTTCGTAATGAAGAGAATTTGACAAACTGGGGTTATTTTCCTTAGAGCAGAGGAGATTGAGACATGACATGATTGAGATGTATAAAATTATGAAGGGTATATGTTGGGTGGATGGGAAGAAACCTTTCCTTTGGTGGGGTGATCTATGATCGGGGGCATAGATGTAAGGTAAGGAGCAGGAGGTTTAGAGGAGATGTAAGGGAAAGTTTTTTTTCACTAGAGGGAATTTGGAACTCACTGCCTACAAGGGTGGTAGAGACAGAAACCCACATAACAATGAAGAGGTAGTTTCTTGTACACTTATGATACCAAGACATATAAGGCCAAATACTGGAAAATTGAATTAGAATAGATAGTGATTGTTTTTAACCAGCACGGACCCTATGGGCTGAAGGGCCTTTTTTCATGCTGCCAATCTTTTTGAGTCTATGACCTTACCTCCACCATCTTCTAAGTCAGAGAGTTCCAATGTCACACAACCCTCTGAGAGAGAAAAATTCTCCTTATCTCATTCCCAAAAGCATGACCCTAACACACCCAGAGAAATAGAAGCATCTTTCTATATTTACCCTGTCAAGACTATGCAGGGTATAATCGGGTCACCCTCTCACTCTTCTAAATTACGATGGTAACAAGACCAGTTGGTCTAATCTATCTTCCTTAGACCACACATTCGTTCTAGGTATCATAGAGTCGTACAGCGCGGAAACAGATCCTTCAGTCCAACCAGTCCATGACGAACATAATCCTAAACTAAACTAGTCCCACCTACCTGCTCCTGGCCCATATCCCTCCAAACCTTTCTGATCCATGTACTTACCCAAATGTCTTTTAAATGTTGTCATTGTACCTACATCCACCACTTCCTCTGGAAGTTCATTCCACACACTAACCACCCTCTGTAAAACAATTTGCCCCTCATGTCATTTTTAAATCTCTCTCGTCTCACTTTAAAAATGTGCCCCCTAGTCTTGAAATCCCCCATCCCAGGGAAAAGACAACGACGATTAACTCTATCTATACCTCCCATTATTTTATAATCTTCTGTCAGGTCGCCTCTCAACCTCCTACGCTCCAGTGAAAAGGGTCCCAGCCTATCCAGTCTTTCTGTAAACTTCCTATGCACCGCATTTACATCCTTCCTTCATTCAGAATCCAAAACTGCACGCAATATTTGAGACATGGTCTCACCAATGTCCTGTATAAATGAAGCATACCATCCTTACTCTTACATTCAATTTTTCTTATAATAAAGAACAGTATTCCATTGGCCTTTTGGATTACTTGCAGTACCTACAAACTAACCTTTTGTGACTTACAAAACAGAACACCAAAATCTCTCTGCACCTTGGAATTCTTGCTGTCATTCTCCATTTAAATAATACTCTGCTTTTCCATTTTTCCTGAGAAATGTGAACATCGTCACATTTTCCAACACTATATTCAATCTGTTAGATTTTTGCCCACTCATCCAAACTACCTCTATCCATCTGACGCCTCTTTTTGTCTTTAGCAACATACTTTCTTATCTGTCTCAGTGTCATTTGTCTTTTAACTGCCATACCTTTGCTCCCCTCATCTATGTCAGCAGAGGCCCCAGAACAGATCCCTGGGAAACCCTAATCATCACATCCTACCAATCAGACATTGACCCATTTATGCATGCTCTCTGTTTTCTGCCAGACAGCCAATCCTGTATGCATGTTACCATGTTACCCGCTGTACCATGAGCTTTTATTTTCTGAAATAACTTTTGAAGTTACACCTTGTCAAGTGGCTTCCAGAAATCAAAGTTCAGTTTGTCTATAGGATATGCTTTATCCCTAACATATGTTGAAGTTGCTTTTGGTTCAATAAACTAGTTGTTAATTTGCTCATTTCAGAGCCTGGCTGATGGGTTTCAGAGGCTGAAATTGGCAATAACACCTCCTCTTTTGCATTCAACAATTATTGTGGGCAATGGAGCTGTGGAACAGGAAAGGAATCCTTATAACCCTCCCAACTGCATCTCAACACCAGAAAGTAGATCATTGGTTGTACTTGCTCCCTTAGTAGTTTGAACAATTGACAGTGATGTATTTAACGTGTGGCAAATGAACTTATGTGTGGGAAAGGAATTGAAAGTCAGGGTTAGATGAAGAGGGATGGAAGCAGCTCAGCAGAAACTTAGTCAAGGTATTAAGGAATTTCTTAGATGAGAACCGAGAGCAAAGCAAACAGAACAGTGGACACTTCAGAAGGGATTGATACTCAAAAACAGCTACATTTGACTGCTCAACGTTTGAGTGAGATCCCTATCTAAAGACATTTATCAATCAAGAGAACTGAAAAGAACTGTGGATGGTAAAAATCAGAGACAAAAACAGAAATTGCTGAGAATACTCAGCAATATCTGTGGAGAGAAATCAGAGTTAACGTTTTGAGTCCTTTCTTCAGAACTGATGGTTGCTAAGTAAATGTTGATATTGATGCAGAAGTTGGGGTGAGGGATGAGGGGATGGGGTGAGGAGTAAATGATAGGTGGAGATAGAGCCCAAAGGGAGAGATGAACAGTTGGACAGACAAAGGAGTGGGTAAAGGTCAGTCTGGGAGAATGTACAGCTAACTCTCTGACTTAGAAGACTGGTACTAACAGTCATGTTAGTAGCTGACAATGGGTTGTGTGTGGTAGCACTCAATATCGAGTTCAGAAGATTGCAAGGTTCCCAAGCGAGGTGCTGTTCTTCCACTTGTGCTAAGCTTTGCTGGAGCACTGCAGCAAGCCCAAGATACAGACGTTGCCCAGGGAACGTGATGATGTGTTTATCAGTCAGTCTGGCAAATACTACATCCTGGGGTAAGCTTTAACAAGCTGGGAGACATAATTTATCCTTGTGCCAGCTGTGAGCCAATTGGTAACTCTGTTGTCTTTGAGACACTTGTGTGTTCAGGTGTCATTGGTCTGCACCATCAAAGTCTGGGCTACTCCCTTGGTTTGTGACTGAGGCAGTACTGCATTGTCAAAGGTTTGGATGAGATGTTAAACCAAAGCCCTGTTTGCAGTCATCCATGCGAATTAAAAGATCATGTGGTATCCTTTTGAAGAAAAGCAAGAGATTAACTCGCAGATCTTAGCTAATATTTTCCCCTCAATCAAAGCATTTTAAGAAAAGATATTTATCTGCTCATTATCACTTGGACAACATTTTAAAAATGTACTTCATTGGCTGTCAGGTGCTTTTGGGTCATCGGTGCTTGTAAAAGGCACTATATAAATGTAAGTATTTTATGAACTCATTTCAAGTAGGTAATGGTAAAGTTGCTATAGTCTCAGAGGATCATAGGGTTGTGCTTTCATGACAGAGAGAGAGATATGACTAGTGGTGAGCTTAACCTGACGGTCACCACACCTCAGGTGAGGGGCAAGGTTGAGAAGGTAGGACATTCATCTCAAGTAGACCTACCTTGCCGATGTAGAGCGGCTCAGTTTCTAGGTGCTCTTCCAATACAAAGAACTGATTCCACACCCATTTCCTCTTGACGCGATGCAGAGAGGGAAGCCGATTTGCTGCTGGTTCGGCTCCAGAGTGAGCTAGAGCTATCAGACAGTACTCTGCCATTGCACATCCCATGAGGATAGTCCACCGTCCACACCAGGTTAGCATTCCTGGCACTCGGCAAGTCTGCTGGCAAACTGAATTAGTCACGCAGATTTCTTGAACAATAAAGTACTGGGCTGGTTGGAATACACTGAGGTTAAATTCACACAAAATGGCTCAGCACGTCACATTCCTGGAAAGGAAATAAAAGGGAGGTGACTTTTAGATTCACACCTTATTGCAAGGTTGAGTGTATTTTATTTCTATTCATTGATAGGATTTAGGAATCATTGGCAAGATCAGCATTGGTTGCTTATTCCTAATTGCTGCTGATTGCAATTAAGAGTGAACCTCATTGCTGTGGGATCTGGACCCATGCGTACCGACAGACCATGTAAGGGAAGGGTCTTGTCCCTAAAGGGCAAAGTTTGTTTTTACAACAATCCATGGCAGCCTGGTCACATTTACATATGTGTACATTCAAGACTGGGTTACACAGAATGTTAGTCTCTCAGAGAATCAAGGGATATGGGGAGTTTTTTTTATTTACTCATGGGAATGGACATCACTGGCTGCTCAGCATTTAACACCCATCCCTAGATGCCCTTGTGAAGGTGGTGTTGAGCTGTCTTCTTGAACCAACTGCAGTCCACATGCTATAAGTTGACCCACAATGCAGTTAAGGGAGGGAATTCCAGGAATTTGACCCAGCAACAATGAAGGAACAGTGATATATTTCCAAGTCAATGTGGTTAGTGGCATGAAGGGAACTTGCAGATGATGGTGTTCCCCATATGTCTGCTGCCCTTGTCCTTCTCAATGGAAGTGGTCATGGGTTTGGAAGATGCTGTCTGAGGATCTTTGGTGAATTTCTACAGTGCATCTTGTAGGTAGTGGGTAGGGACTTGAAGCTCACAATCAGCTGTGATCAGATTGAATGAGGGATCAGGTTCGGTGGACCACCTGGTCCATTCCTATATTGTATGAGAGACTAGGGTTTCAATTCCAAATTATTTTAATTGTATTTAAGTTCCATCAAGTACTGTGATGGATTTGGATCTGTAGCCCCATTTGTTTGCCTAGGCCTATGGATGACTAGCTAAAAGATTTACGAAGATGTTGCTGAAGGTTTGCGTTATAAAGAAAGGCTGGATAGGCTGGGACTTTTTCACTGGAGCAGAGGAGGTTGAGAGGCAACTTGATAGTTTATGAATAATGAGGAGGATAGATGGAGTTAATGGTAGTTGTCTTTTCCTGAGGATGGGGGATTTCAAGACTAGGGGGCACATTTTTAAGGTGAGAGGAGAAAGATTTAATAAAGACATGAGAGGTAAATTTTTTACACAGATGGTGGTTTGCATGTGGAATGAACTTCCTGAGGAAGTGATGGATACAGGTACAATTACAACATTTAAATTACATTTGGATAGATACATGAATAGGAAAGATTTTGAGGGATATGGGCCAGGATCAGGCAGGTGGGACTAGTTTAGTTTGGAATTATGTTTGCAATGGATTGGTTGGGCCGAAGGGCCTGTTTCTGTGCTGTATGACTCTAAATGAAATTATTTCAACATTAAATGGTGTTGCAGGCTTGAGGGGATGAATAGAATGGAATTCCTGCAGTATGGAAACAAGCCATTCGGTCCAACAATTCCACACTGACTCTCTGAAGAGCATTCCATCCAGACACCCCCAGCTACCCTATCCCTATAACCCTGCATTTCCCATCGCTCATCCACATAATTCACACATCCTTGGACACTATGGGGCAATTTAGCATGGCCAATCCACCTAACTCGCACATCTTTGGGCTGTGGAGGAAACTGGAGCACCTGGAGGAAACCTATGCAGACACGGGGAGAATATGCAAACTCCACAAGACAGTCACCCGAGGGGGAATTGAACGCGGGTCCCTGGTGTTGTGAGGCAGCAGAGCCACCTACTCCTGATCTGATGTGCCTATCACTATCTTGTCTTCCTACGCTAAGTTAGATTAAAAAATCTCCACAATTTTACACATTTTCATTCAGTTCCTGGAGAACATATCAGATCGTTGGACTCTACAAGGGTGATACCTATTCAATAGGTTTATATAAATCTCTCCTGATTGTAATTTTCATTATCAACCACAATGAAAATTACTTCCAGAAAGTGCAGAGGAAGCACAGTCTGCAGGAGGGTGCAGTGATGTAACAGTTAAGTTGTTACTGATCCTGAAATAGATTTTAAATCCCATTATGGTAGCTGAGGAATTTAAATTCAGGAAACTAAACAAATCTAGAGCTTGAGAAAAAGAAATGGCAGCAGCATCTGTGATGATGACTATGAAATGATTGGATTGTTGCAAAAAGCCATCTGCTCCACCAATGCTTTTTAGGGAATTAAATATTCTCTTCTCACGCAATCTGGCCTTAATGTGACTGTTCAACCCACAGCAATGTCACTGTCCCTTAACTACCCTCTGACTTCGTCTAGCAACACTCTCTGTTGCATTGGGATGGGTTATGAGTGCACCACTAACATCCTGTGAAGGAATTGTAAAGAAATACTTGCAGCGCTGCAGGGGAACATGGAATAATTAAATCAGGACATTTTGCAAGAGTACTAATTCAAAGACAAAGCAACATTTATATTGCATGAGAGGAGTATGCTAATTGGAAGGAAAATGGGCTATGACTGGTGAAAGTGTTTCCATGAACAATGCTCTCATTAATCCTGATTGACAGCAAAGCCAGGCTTTGTTTAAATAATAAAAAATATTAAATCAGGATAACTCTGATTGTTCAGGGCAAAAATGCTGGTTTTCCCCAGGAATTGATATTCTTGCAAAATGTCCTGATGCATGCAAGATGAAATGCTTCAACAAAATAATAAGTCTTCTCAGCAATACTTAAGTTCCATACTGCCCAATATCTATTGCAATAATTAAATCACAGCACGCAAGGCTGATGCATTCTCCACTTAGAACTCTCATGTTTTGTCCTTACTTAGCATTTCCTTTGTTTAAAAACCTTCCTTCAATATTTCAAACAACTCCTGCTCACATAAAGTGTGACTTCTCAGCAGACTGGCAGCTTCTGAAGTGTTGTTGGAGCTGCACCCATCCAGGCAAATGACGGGCATATCATCACACACCTCACGTGTGCCTTGTAGATGGTGGACAGCTTTGTAGAGTAAGAGAGTGAGAGTTACTCACTGCTGATTTCCTAGCCTCTGACTTGCTTATTTTATTTCACTGGCCAGTCCAGTTAAGTTTCTGGTCAATGCTAACCCTAAGGATGTTGATAGTGGGGGAATTCAGTGATGGTAACACCATTGAATGTCATGAGTGATGGTTAGATTGTTTCTTGTTGGATATGGTCATTGTCTGGCACTTGTGTGCTACTAGCAATGTATCAGCCGAAACCTGGGTATTGTCCAGGTTTTTCTTCACTTTAGTATGGATTGTTTCAGTATCTGAGGAGTCACAAATTGTGCTGAACATTGTGTAATTATCAGCAAACATTTCCATTTCTGACCTTGTGATAGAAGGTAGGTCATTGATGAAGCAGCTGAAGATGGTTGGCCCGAAGACACTGCCCTGAAGAACTCCTGCAGAGATGTCCTGGAGCTGAGGTGCCTGATCTCCAACAATGAAAGCCATTTTTCTATGTGCCAGATATGATTCTAACCAGTGGAGAGTTTGTCCTCTGGTTCTCATTTTCCTCGGCTTCCTTGATGCCATACTTGGTTGAATGCAGCTTTGATGTCAAGGGCAAACACTCACGCCTCATCTCTAGAATTCAGCTCTTTTGTCCATGTTTGAGCCAAGGCTGTAATGAGGTCAGGAGCTGAGTGGCCCTGGCGGAACCCAAACTGGGCGTCACTGAGCAGGTTATTGCTGAGCAGGTGCTGCTTGGTAGCGCTGTTGGTGACACTTTCCATCACTTTACTGATGATTGAGACTGGACTGATGGGGCAGGAATTGGCTGGGTTGGGTCTGTCCTTCTGGTTTTGTGTAAACGATATATGTGGGCAGTTCACCACATTGTTGGGTAGATGCTAGGGTACAGGTTTATAACTTGGAATGGATGGGGCATGGAGAGTGAGCAAAGTGAGGGGCTGGGAGTGGGGGGGAGGGGGAAGTGAGTTTTTTTCTTGAAAACCACTGAGCCCAGAGGAAATTTATTTGCACGGCCTGCCTGAGAAGCTGGCATCTTCTTAGCCTCTTCATGGGTCACCTGGGTTGCCAATCCTGCCCATGCCAACCCTACCCAAAAGCCTGAAATATGGGTGACAGTTTTTAATGGCCTTCTCCAGTCAACTGACTAAGCAATGAAACTCAGGGCCAAAGTGAACATTTCAAATGCAATCTGACTCTTCTTTGGAATCTGAGTTATTGGGCATGAAACACCAAGTTTGCTTCTTTTCCCACAAATATTTTGCACCAGTTGCCTTTGGTACTTTTGCCAATGACTTTAAAATCATGTCCTTAATTCTATCCAATTGACACTGCACAAAGTCAAACAGACACCAGCTAATCAAATATGACCTACTACAAGAATTGCTAATAAAAGGGTGGACATCGCTGTTGAGTTTGTGGAGCTGATGCCTTGTTCCATGTTGGGGAGAATGGTCCCCAGCTTGATACAGGACAGAACTAGACTCCCCCACACAAATTTCAGGGATTTTTTCAAGCAATGTGTCTTTGCTGGCTGGGCCAGCCTTTATCGTCCATCCCAAGTTGGTCTGGTAAATGTAGCGGTGAGCTTCCTTCAACTGCTATTGTCCAATGCTCTGTTAGGCAGAAAATTCCAAGATTTTAACCCAGTAACAGTGAAGGGATGGTGATACAACTCCAAGTGAGGGCAGTGAGTGGTTTTAGGTGGAACTTGCGACAACTGCCTTTGTCCTTCTTGATGGTAATGTGTTTGGAAGGTGCTGTCAGAGGAGCCTTGCTAATTTGCGGCTCTCAATCTTGTTACCACTGTGGAGCAGCTCATTAGCAACCTTTCTGTTTCAATTGATGCCATTGTCTGGAACAGGGTGTGTATTAATATTGAGAAAAATTGATAAGTTATAGGATAGCACATCTGGTAATGAAATTAAGACAAAATTAATCCTCTGCTACAATTCATTAAATTCTACTGCCTAGTTTTCACTGGTTTGCAGTGTGGTCTGGCCTCAATCTGATCTTGGCTGAAGAGGAAG